ACATTCTGGATGCTCTAACGCCCGTCTGGCATCGGAATCGGTACTTCTCAATTGCTGTCTGGGGTCGAGGCTGGTATAATAAGGAGCCTTACCAACCCTAAACCCTAAACCTAAGCAGGAGGTTCTTAAGGCCCAGGTAAACCTTCAGCCCTAAACGCACAGCACAAGGCGTCGACTCGAGTAGCGATGGCTCTGCCGGCGGCCCAGTGGCCACGCACTTGCCGTTCCTTCCAACGCTGCTTGCAGGGTCAGGGTTTAGGGTTTAGGGTTCACAGTTACCCTAAACCCTAAACCCTAAACCCTAATAGACTTTAGGGTTTAGGGTTTAGGGCTTTAGGGGTGAGGGAGTTTGCCACTGTGTCGCTGAGAGGTCGTTTGCCTACCAGCCTAACAGCCCTGCTACCGAGGATACAAGATCCGTGCACGATTTGCGAGTGGCAGTTGCCATGTTGTTTCCACCAGTGGCCTGGTTTAGGGTTTAGGGTTTAGGGTTTAGGGCTTAGGGTTTAGGGTTTAGGGTTTAGGGTTCCTGTTTCTTGTGATTGCCCGTGCCGCCACCTCCACCCCCCAAACCCTAACTCCGTAGGTGAGTTGTTCGATGTTCTGACCTTGAACTCTTAATCAGAACTGTTTAATTGTCAAGAGCAACGCTGTTGCCGCAGCAATTCCCAGGAGGGAACAATCGTACATGAAGGCTCATTCCCAGACACGACCCTAAACCCTAAACCTAAAGCCCTATAAACCCTGAACTATGTTCCCTTAAGCCATGAGACCAGCCATGTTGTTCCTGACCGCGCGCCTGAAGCCTAAAGCCTACATGCCAAACCCCAAACCCCAAAACCACACGGTGAGCGTCGTTCTTGCTTCAGCTTGTGGCCAGGTTTCAATAACCCTGAAACCCGAAACCCTCAAAAATCCTTAAACCGACCCGGAGACCTCAGATAGTACGGTATTCAAGTTCAACTTCGACGGCCCTGGCTTTTGTGTCGTGAGACCTGCAGGGTGGCCTTAAGCCCTGAAAATTCAAACTTAAGCCCAAAACCTTAAAACCCCCCTCCGAAAAAGACACCCTAGACCCTAAACCCCAGACTCTAAACCCTAAGCCCCCTAAGCCCTAATCCCTAAACCCCAAAACCTAAACCCTAAGCCCCAAACCTGAACCCTAAACCGCTTAACCGTCGGATGGCCATCTCTGTCTCTGAGGATGAGCCATTGGACGTCTTGGGGATGGAGGAGGACTTCGCGGAGGTGCCGCGGGAAGCGTACGATTCCGGGTTTCTTTTAGGGTTAATCTGGGTTCAGGGAATTGGGTCTAGGATTTGGGCTTGGGGCTTTACGCGGTTTAGGGTTTAATTCATTTTGGGACCCCCGTATGAGTTTCCCAAAAGGAGATAGACAAGGTTCCCTGTAAGGGGCCTGCCATGATCTACCCTTTAAGCTCTTCGGGGTTTTAGAAAACGCGGATCCTTTTAAAGGTTCCTCCAAGTAGGTCTTCAGGATGCAGGATTAGGTTCACGAGGGTGTCGGGGTTTAGGGCTTCATTCGCGTGTTGATTTCTGTCAGCTTTTGGAAACTACCGTCTGGAACCGGGCCATACTGAACCAGGGCTCTCACCTCTGGAGGTTTTCAATCCGAAATAGACAGCTGCTTCTGGTGTAAGAGTTTAACGTTTAGGGCTTAGGGCTGAGGGAGGCCCATACAAGCACGTTCTCGAAGCCTGGAATCCTATCAAAGGGCTGGCGACACTGGTCGCTTGTGCCATGAAGCTAAAGCTAACTACACCACAAGGCCCCCCAAACCGCAGCACCCCAACACCCTGACCAAACCCCACGCCCCCCTAAACCCTAAACCCTAAACCCTACGCCCTAAACCTTAAGCCCTAAGTCCGAAGCCCTAAAGCTTTTGCAGGCCAGCGATGATGAGGATGCCGGCCAAGACGAGAAGCAAGCCGAAGAAGGTCGCATGGAGGAGCCTAGAAAGCTTGATCTTCCCTTTGGGTACTAGAATCCACATAATCATGGGTTTAGGGTTTAGGGTTTAACCTCAATTTTCAATTCTCAGGATACTGGACAAGTGAGTTTTAATCCCTTGTCCTGGCGGCCCTGCAACATTTATCCTGTTCAGGTCCAGACGCGGGTCTCCCGCTTTTGGACTAGGGTTGTACGGATACGAGGTTCAGGTTCAGTTTTAAAGGTTTACGTAGGGCCGGAAATCTGTGGACTTAGAATCGCACACCCCTAGACCCCAAACCCCTGCGCTTCCTTACCGAGGGCAGCCCTAAATCCGCAACCAATAAATCAAAAAGCCTCGAACCCGAAAACCCCAAACCCCAAACTCTCGACCCTAAAACCTAAACTAAACCCTAAACCCGTAAACTAAACCACCCTCAAATTTCAAAACCCAAGCCCTGACCCTAAGGGTCCACGTGCCTAAGAATCATATGCTCTCCCAAACATTGTTAACCTGGATAACTACTATCCGCAACCACCAAGGTACCTTATTATTGGGTCCTTTGGACCCTTAGGGTGAACTTTGAAAACCCTAAACCCCTAAACCCTAAACCCTAAACCCTAAACCCTAAACCCTAAACCCTAACCCCGAACCTCCTAAGCCTCAAACCCCCTCACCCTTGATGAAGCCCAGCCTCGGAGCCCAAGGCCCCAAAAGGTTTAGGGCTTTAGGGTTTAGGGTTTAGGGTTCAGGTTTAGGGTTTAGGGTTTAGGGTTTAGGGTTGAGGGGTTTCGAGTTTAGGGTTTCGGGTTTAGGGTTTTGGGGTTTCGGGTTTTTGGGTTTTGGGGTTGACGGGTTTAGGGCTTGTAGAACCCTTGTGCAAGCCCTTTGCAGAACGTTGAGCTCTTTGTAGATCGCAAAAACAGGAACATTATTCCTTCTTACTATGAGGTGTGGAGGTCCCCGCAGTCCCAAACCCCAAGCCCTAGACCCCAAACCCCATATGGTTTAGGGTTTAGGTTTTAGGGTTTGGGGTTTAGGGTTTTTTACACCAAGCCCGCCCATGAACTATCAAGGTCCCGATTGACCCAAAGCGCTGCGTGTTCAGGCGGGGGACTTCGGATTCAAGAGGGATTTAGGGTTTAGGGTTTAGAGGGTTTAGCCAGGGTTTAGGGTTTGAGGGATTAACCCTGAACTCTCACATAGGGATAGGGGCCTTACTTATATTATTTTGGGAGTTCCTGATTCTATTTTTGGTATACCATGCCTCAAAACCCTATTCTAGTCATTAAGGCCCCTACATGAAACAAAAAGGCTACTCCTCAAATTGCTTCGAGCCAAGCCAAAAAAGCTAACCGCCAGGAGTACTTCTCCGAGCTTGACGAGCAGCTGGAGTCCGCCTTGGATGGTGAGCTGGCAGGGCAAGAGGTGCCCCGCGGTTTAGGGCTCAGGGAGTCGGGTTTCCCAAAAAAGGGCTCCGTAAATAGGGTTTCGGGTTTCGGTTTTAGGGTTCCTTGCCGTAAAGGCGACGGTAAAAGGGGGTTCCTTCAAGGGCTCCTTGACGGCTAACGTGAAGGGTTGGGGTTCCTTGAAGGGTTCCTTAAGGGTTGTTCAAACCTAAACCCTAAACCATCGTCATGGTCTCAGGAAGGCGGACGCGAGTCTTGATTTTTAGGGCTACTTCGATTTTTTGCAGGGTTTGCTGGTGATCGCGGGTTCGGCGTTTAGGGGTTTTGTGTTGTCTTGTATTTTTTCAATCACGGCTTCGTGATACCTTCCTTATCATAGAGGCTCTTGTCACGATGTTTATGGTGTACTATTGTTTTTAAGTCATGGTTTTATGGTGTATTACAGGATTTTTGCTGCAGCTTTTGGTGTTTTGTTAGTTACGGCGTGGTGTCGTATAAGGTGTTGTCACAGTTGTTGTGGTGTTATAGGGTCTTGCGAGGGGTTTATGTGTTTTAGAGGGCGCTACGCGGGGCCTTACGTTTGTATAAGGTGTGATAACGGGTTTGGCGTTTAAGGTTTGGTAGGGGTACAACTTCAACACCGACATGCAGCCCTCCATGATTTGAGGCATATCCCTCAGTCTACTTAGCCTCGGACCTAAACCCGTAACCCTAAACCCCAAACTACAGTTAATAGGTTCCTCAACAATACCCTCTTGTCCCTTTTGTTTTCGGGTTCCCTTGTTAAAGCTGAATACTATAGGAAATTGGGCACCCTTAAAACTAAGGAGCTACTGGGAAAGCTGGGTTAAGGGCTATTGGGCTCCCTGGCCATTGAGAGCCTGTGCTCCAGAACAGGTTCTCCTGGTCGAGGAATCCCCACAGATTACAACTGGAGCTTCCTAAAATAAGGGGTACTGTATTTTTCGGTTCTTATAATAAGGATCCCACTATTTGGGGTACTTTATTAAGGTCCCCTAATTTTCGGCAAACCCCAAATCAGGCCGGCTTGCCTCTGCGACCAGACGGCTATTTCGAAGTCGACGCTCTGCTCCGCACCCGTGAACTACGGGACTGTCACATAACCCGGGCAGAAGTGCTGCACGTTGCCCGTACGGACGCCAAGGAGAGATATACCCTGGACACCTTAGACGACAGGCTTTGTATCAGAGCGGCCCAGGGACATTCCCAACGCGTTGACAAGTCGCTGCTCATGACACGGCTAAGAGGAGAGCAACTTCATCCGTGCTGTATCACGGCACTATGTCGTCGTGCTATGACTCGATTCTCAGGCAAGGGCTTCTAGCTGGCGGCCCCGCAGGGCGGGAGGTATTGGGCAACCAGGGCCCAGGGTTTAGGGTTAGGGTCTTAGGCAAGCAGGGTTTCGCGTTTTAGGGCTTAGGGTAGCAGGGTATTAGGGTTTAGGACCTCGTTTGGCTCCGTCTGCTGATTTGTTGCGTAAGTTGCTGCCTGACTGCACCCGCACGTTGCTTCATCGATGTGAAGTATCGCCAATTCCTGTCTAGACGTGCCCACGTGATGGGCTTGCACATGGTCGATACCCGAAGGCCTCAACCCCGAAGACTAATTACATCCTTTAGTTAATGTAGGGCCCTTGATAGTTAGAATAGAGCTTGCAGCGTTCATCGAGATACCAGGGTGTGCGACAGCCATTAAAGTCTAAACCCCTCAACCCTAAACCCTGAACCCTTCAGTTCTGGACCCCAACCCCCAAACTCTAAACCCCTTTCCCTCAACCCTAAGCCCTTAGACTCTACAGTAAACCCCGCCCCGAATATAGAAGCCTAAATAATTACTAGTCTTATTTGAGGAGTTCCCGATATAGTAACATTCCCCAAAACCCTCTTCTAATTGTTAAGGCCCCTAAACCCTAAACCCTTATAGTAGCCATTTAAGGAGCCCTTTAAAGGAACCCTATGAAACCCAATTGTAACTATTAAGGCCCCTACAGTAAAACCGAGAGCCCCTTGTCGCCAAAGGCGGCGCGCACAGACGACGCCCTGCCGCTGAGCTCGCGCCACATCAAGGCCCGGTGACATGTGCAGGAGTTTTCTGTCTCGTGGTTGAGGGTTTAGGGTTTAGGGTTTAGGATGCATACACCGGTCGGCACAACGAGTAGCCCTCGTTCTTCCGGATTCGTAGCATAAATAGACTATGGCATACTCCAAGCCCCATTCTAATTATTGAGGCCTCTACATTGGGGTTCAGGGCGTAGATCGACACGCGGCGGCCATGTGGTTGCGGCAATGACATTACTCGAAAGGATGCCCCAAGAGATGGCCCCTTGTCCAGACCCACCGACCATGTCTCGAAAATACAGAACCCAGCCCCAAACCCTGAACCCTCAACCCAAAGCCTTAAACCCAACTGCATTAATTTTTTCAGGAAGGATCCTGCATCGCCTAGATTGGGGCCACTGCTGATACCCTGAAGACTCTCAAAAGTTTTGCCAAACCGCAAAGGAAGGAAAGTTTTCAGTTCATCATTTAAAGAAGCCAAGCTCCAAAGCAGAGGCGACGTAGAAAGGCACCCCCCCGAACGCAAACCCCTAAACCCTAAACCCTAAACCCTAAACCCTAAACCCTAAACCCTAAACCCTAAACCCAGACACGAAGCCACGGAACGCAAACCTCATCAAACCCTCGAAAAACGCGTTGAAGCCCTTCGGGAGACAGGTAAAGCCAGCTGAAAGCTGGTGAAGTCTTATGGTTCAGGGTTTAGGGTTATAGGACAGCAGCCAACCCGGCAGGTGCACGGCTCCGATCCGCTGGAGCTGGACATGCACGCCATGGAGCATGCCATTTCCTCAGCAGCCGACACGAGATCTGAGCGGGAATTTGGTTTTAGAGGTTTGTTTTTTGCTTTAGGCTGAAGCCTAAAGAAACGGCTGCTTCAAGGAGTCCGGGATCTTCTGTGGCCATAGACGCCTCTTCGAGCTCGCGTCCAGAAGACCTTTCTGGTTTTGTGGTTTAAAGTTCAGAGGTTTGGGTTTTAGAGTTTAGGGTTTAGGGTTCAGAGTTTCGGGTTTTAGGGTTTAGGGTTTACAGGGTTTAGGGTTTCGGGTTTTAGGGTTTAGGGTTCTGCAAGCCTTATCATTAGAAAACCGCTCTAAGCCTTTAAAAGCTGTCGAGCCGAGGTGGAAGGCGG